CCCACCCAGAAAGGTGAAAGGTAACCTCTAGTAACTATCTACTTACATAAGCACTTTTACCAGAACTTAACTGACAAACATGTTAGAAAAATTACTATGGATAATATACAAACAATGAAGCTGTTATTTTGAGAGATTGATTCAAATCAATGAAGAGTGGGATCTGAATAGGCTTAATGAATTCTGTGTTTCCCTCTAAGCTAACACATATTTTCCTCTAAGAAAAGATATTGTGATATCATGGGCTGAAACATATTTGTATCAAATGACAACAGACAATGTAAGAATTAAATCCTCCTTACCCTAGCTCAGAAAAATGTTATTGAATAGGTTAATGCTGTTGTAATGAAATGCTTCTTCTAATTAAAAATAAAAAAAACAAAACAGTATTTGCAAATAAAAAAAATCAGAATAATTGTGTTATGTTAGTAATGAATAATTAGAAGATGAAAACAAAACATATTAGCTCAAAAAGTATCAAAAACTCATGTCAGTTATAAGTAATTAAAGAAGACCTAATAAATGAAGAGAGATCCTTATGGATTGAAAAACTAAAAATTGTTTCAAACTTTCTACCAGTTGTGGTGGTGCACATCTGCAGGATATGCTGAAGAGATGGAGGCAGGAGGATCTTGGGTTTGAGGGCAGCCTGGGCTACACCTTTTAGGGCTGGAGAAATGGCTCCAGTGGTTAAGAGCATGTACTGCTCTTGCAGAGGACTCGATTAAATCTTAGCATGCACATCCACAAGGGTTACAACTGCCTGTAACTCTAGCACCAGGGACTGCACGCACGCACGCACACAGACATACACACACACACACGATCTTATTTAAGAAAAGGTTCCCATTGTCCCCAAATTGATCTTTAATGTAGTCATTATCAATACTCTGGAAATTTTGGATTTTGTTAATTGTTGTTACAGACAAGTTGATTCTAAAATTTATGTGGCGGGACTAGAGAGATAGATGGCTTAGCAGTTAAGAGCACGTACTCCTCTTGCAGAGGACCTGTGTTCAGTTCCCAGCACCCACTTGCAGATTACAGGCGATAGTGCCCTCTTCTGGCCTCCTTGGGCACTAGGCATGCATGTGGTGCATATCATACATGTAGGCAGAACACTTACACATATAATAAAAATAAAATAAAATTTATGTGGAAGCAGAAAGGATTTAGACTAAACAGAAAGGATTTAGACCGAAATAATTTTGAAAAAGAAAAAGTTGAGTCTTATACTACCTGATTTCAGAACTCTATAAACACCACAACAATCAAGGCAGTTTGGTACTGGCTTAAGAGCAGACAAATGGATTAATAGAACAGAATAGAGTCCAAAAATAGACCCGCATATATATGATCAATTGGGTTTTTTAACCAGGATGCCAAATTCAGTTAAAAAAAGAAAGGAAAGTCAATAAATAATGTTTAACTAGATATCTCAACCCTAATCTTTTTGTTTATATAAAAATTAACATGCATTGCAGATCTAAATATAAAGCAAAGTCATAAGAAGAAAGCTTGGATTATAAATCTTTTAAGATATTTATTATTTTTACTTTATGAGTGTATTGCCTGCATGTATGTAACTACACCTGTGTCATGCAATGTCCATGAAGTCATTGAAGAGGGTGTCTGATCCCCTGGAACTGGAGTTATGGATGGATTTTAGCTGCTATATGGGTTCTGGGAATTGAACCCAGGTTGTCTGAAGGAGTAGCCAGTGCTTTTAACTGCTGAGCTATCTCCAACCCCGTGGATTATAATCTTGACAGCCTTAGAATAGGAAAAAAATTCCTAAATTACACAGTAAGCACCAGTTATTTAAAAAAAAAAAAAATTGGGGCTGGAGAGATGGCTCATCAGTTAGGAACACTGAGTGCTCTTGCAGAGGACCCGGGTTCAACTTCCAGAACCCACATGGTGGCTATGAACCATTCTTAATTGCAGTTCTGGGGGAATCCGAAGCCCTCTTCTGACCTCCACAGCATTGCAAGAAACAGGTGCACTCATATACATGCAGGCAATACACTCATAAAATAAAAATAATAAGTAAAATTTTAAAAAATATATTGATAAATTGGACATCAGAATGAAAATTGGTACTCATTAAAAAGCATTTATTTTAAAAATAGATGTGGAAGCTGCAATATCTAAAGCAATATTTGCAATGGATAGATTTGACAATTGAAACCTAGATGCTGGTTGTCTTATGTTCTTCCTAATTTTTGCTTAGAAAAATAGTTCTGGAATATTGTCCTGTTTCTGACCTCCAAAAGCCAATTAATTGGGATTTTCAGATACTAGTGTGATCATTATCTGAAATTTTAAAGGCACTCAGGAAGTTAAGGCAGGAAGATTGCAAGTTCAAAGCCAGCCTGGGCTACATAGTGAAACCTTTGTCTCAAAAAGAAGAGGAGAGGAAATGGGAAGGGAGAGGAGAGGAGGAGAGGGAGAGGGAGAGGGAGAGGAAGGGGAGGGGAGAGGAGAGGAGAGATCAGCTTATTCTTTTATCTAAATGTGATGTTCTTGCCTATATTTGGTAACTAGATTTATATAGCACATGAGCAAAAACAGAAGCTCGTAAGTGAAAAGTTACAGAAGTTATTTTTTAAGTGTGCGAGCCTGCTAATTTGCTTCTGTTTTTCTTTACAGTTTCAACTCCTAGCCTCAGCTCTATTCAAATCTGGCTCAGATTTTACAGCTCTAGGTAAGTATGCCAGTATAGTTTATCTAGTTAGTTGTACTAGCATTTGGAAGGTTGGATTTTGGTTTCTCTTTTGAAACATTAGATGAGATGTACATCCAAATAAGTGCATGTCATTTCTAATAACCTGCTAGAAGGTTGCTTCCCAAGCATCATTCACCAATTCTTGGCCAGTTGCAGATCACCGTATACCACTTAATTCAAGCAGATGGCAATAGAAGTATGCCAAAATAAATTTTTATAGCACTCTTTTGGAATGCAAGCATTATTACTGGTACAATTATTATGAGAAGACACTTGGTTGAGGTTTTTTTTTTCCCCCTTTGTTCTTTGGAAGTTGTATGGTATCAAGAGAATGATAAATGGGATTTGGAATGAAATATTTTGAAAACAAAGAAAATGAATTATCTCTTTCTTAAGAATGCAAATTTCTGGACCCTGGAGAGATGGCTCAGCGGTTAAGAACACTGACTATTCTTGCAGAAGACCTGGGTTCGAATCCCAGCACCCACATGGCTGCTAACAACTGTCCATAATTCCAGTTCCGGGGGATCCAACAGCCTCGTCTGTCCTCCGTGGACATTGCATGACGCGGGTGCACTTACCTACATGCAGGCAATACATGCATACACATAAAAATAATAAACAAAATTCTTAAAAATTTTTTTTAAAGAATAGAAATTTTTATTTGTTGATATATATTAATTGCTCAAGTTCCCTTTGGAAATCTTTTCCTCAAACATCTTGGATATGGCCATTAGTCTTAAGAAGTACTCTTATTTAGGGCTGGATGGCTCAGCAGTTAAGAACACTGGCTGCTCTTGGAGAGGACCCAGGTTCAGTTCCCAGCACCCACATGGCAACTAACAGCCATCCTCAACTCCAGTTCTAGGGAAATCTGGAGCCCTTTTCTCACTGTCTTGGCCATTGCATGACACAGGTGCACTTACATACATGCAGGCAATACACTCATAGGCCTAAAATAAAAATAATAAATTTTAGCCAGGTGTGGTGGTGCACGCCTTTAATCCCAGCACTCGGGAGGCAGAGGCAGGTGGATCTCTGTGAGTTCAAGGCCAGCGTGGTCTACATAGTAAGTTCCAGGACAGCTGAGGCTACAGGGAGACCCTGTCGCAAATGACCAAAATAATAATAATAATAATAATAATAATTAATAAATTTTAAAAAAGAAGTACTTTATATAATAAAGAATTACTAGAAAAAAGATTGTGTGCTGGGGATTAAGTGGTACTAATGAATCATTAAAGTAACTAATGTAGTAGAACCGTGGTAGCAGAGAAAGTGGCCTCAAGAATTGACAGACGGTATTACATGAAGTTAAAAAGCCTCTGCAGAGCGAAAAAAAAAAAACAAAACTATCAGCAGAGTGAACCAACAACTTGTCAAACTGGGGAAAATCTGTGCCAGCTATACTGCAGGCAAGGAGTTGATATCCAAAATAGATAAAGAGCTGTAAAATTTAATCACCAAGTAAATAAATAAATAAAACCTGCTAATCAATAGCTAGGCTAGTGACCTGAACAAATAGTTTTCAAAAGAAGAAATACAAATAGCCAATAAAGTTTTTTTTTTAATGTTCAATATCCTTAACCATCAAGGAAATTCAAATTAAAACTAGTTTGAGATTCCATTTCACCCAGTCAGAATGACTGTCATCGAAAAAATAAGTGCTGAAAGGATGTGGGAAAAGTGGAATCCTTATTTACTGTTGATGGGAATGTAAATTGGTGCAGCAATTATGGAAATCAGTGTAGAGCTTTCTCAAAACACTGAAAAATATTAACTACCATCTGACTCTGCTGTACCACTCCTGGACATACAGTCAAAGGACCCTGTGTCCTAATACAGAGATATGTGCATATCCTTTTTCATTGCTGCTCTATTCACAATAGCAATGAAATGGAACCAGCCTATCTATTCAGTAAGTGAATGGATAATGAAAATAAAAGTAGAAGGGAAGTGCTGAAGGCAGAGATGTGCAAGTCTGGAGGCAGGCCAGGAGATGAAGAGAGAAGTGAGTAGGCCGCTGAGCAGCCAAAACTAAGAGTGCACGAAACTTATCACTTTGTATGCTAATTAAAAAGGAAAAAACAAAAAAAAAACTTTAAGTAGCTAAACTAGGCTATTGTAAACTGAGTCTGTGAAGTTCCAGATTGCAGAGCTTTATTCTGGTTAATTTTCAAGAATCTTTTAGATAGGACAACTTATTGGTACCTTCAGGATTTTTTTGATTTTGATTTTGTTGTGGTTGTTTGAGTTCCACACTGGCTTCAGTTTCATGATCCTTTCGCCTCCAAGAGGCATGAAAAATTTTATTCTCTTCTTGGCTTATGAAATGTAATTATATATATGAATAGCGCTTACATCAATGGAATTGGTATGTATTCATGTATAATCTTCCTGTGTGCATAGAATAGATACTGCTGTTTTATTTGGAGTAATTGCTGGGTGATGTTAGTCTAATTTCTTCATTGTTTGTCCTGTTGTCTAAGATGAATAATTCCTCAGAAGAAAGAAAACTCACAAACTGTATATAATTGGGTGCTTTTCCTTTCCCTAGAATGGGAAAGAACAGCAGTTTTCCTTGGGATCTTGCTCTCCTTTTTCATAGCGAGTAATTTAGGTTTCTAACTCTAGAATATGATGGACCCCACAAGCTGACTAGCAGGCCTCTATAAAATAATTTCAATGAGTGTGTCTTCAGGCTACAAAAAATTGCAGCCCTCTGATGATGGGTTGAGATCCTAGGTACAAACATTGTTAGAAAGCTCATGCCCTTTGGAATTTTATCCTTTGATGTAGACATAGTGATACACAAATTGGAAGCCTGCCTCAATTTGAAAGAGTTGGCACCTTAATGTGTATGGAAACCACAGCCCAGGGTCATTATTCTTATTTATTGATGAGCAGCACTAAATTGTCTTTGGCTATTTTTTTAGCCATTAAAATAAGAATTTCTTGGCAGTGATTAAATAGGTTAGGATGGTGTCAGCAAATATTTTACAATTTAGCTTAATTTCTTCTGTCTCTGTCCTGTTCCCTGCCAGAAGGCATTTTTTGTCAAGAACAATTTGTTTTACTTGGATTCTAAACAAACCTCAAATACAGAGAACAATATGAACACAATACACACAAATAAAAGAGGGAAAATTCTTATGAAGCTTTTTCCTACCTTGGCTGAAGGAAGTCAGTATAGTTTATTAGTTAGTAAGTTAGATTATAGCATAGTGTCATGAGCCAGAATGGAGGTCCAGACACCAGCTATACTACTGGCTAATTAAAAGTGAACTCTGCATTGGAAATGCAGCCCAGTAGTAGCACAAGGGCATAGTGTGAACAAGTTACTTGACCTTCCTGATTAGTGTTTTCTTTTCTTTTAATTTTTAAAAATTTATGTTTTTAGTTTATGAGTGTTTTGCCTGTGTGTATGTAAGTCCACCATATGTGTGTATTGCCTGAGAAGCCAGAAGAGGGTGTCAGATCCCTATAACTGGACATATGAGTGGTTGTGAGCCACTATGTGGGTGCTGGGAACCAATTCCAGGTCTTCTACAAGAGCAGTCAGTGTTCTTAACCACCGAGTCATCTCTTCAGTCCCCTCATCAGTAGTTTCTTTACCCATAAAATAGAGATAAGGAAGGTACCTAACTTGGTTTTTGAGAGAATTAACTGAAATAATTTTGGAGAACACAGTATAATTAAATACTTTGTAAGTACTCTGTTCATAGTACTATTTTTATTAACTCTCTTAGAAATTGAATCTTCTGGCAGGCTTAATGGCACATGCCTTTAAGTCCCAGCACTCAGGAGGCAGAGGCAGGTGGATCTCTGTGAGATCAAGGCCAGCCTAGATTACATAGCGAGTTCCAGGCCAGCTGGGGCTACAGGGAGACCATGTTTCAAAAAGACAAAAAACCAAAAAGAATCTTCTGGACTAGAGATGGCTCAGTGGTTAAGAATACTCACTGTTCTTGCAGAGGACCTGGGTTTGGTTCCCAGCACACACATGATGTCTAACAACTGTCTATGACTCCAGTTCCAGGGAATCTGTCACCTTCTGGCATCCACAGGCATTGAACACACGGGTGCCACTTACTTATATGCATGCAAAGCACACGTGCGTAAAAATCTTTAAAAAAACTTTTAAAAGAATGTTTTAGAAAGTTTAGAAAGTTCTTTGTACCAGAGATGAATTTCAATGAGGAGCAAATTTAGGTTGTATGCTATTTTGATATTGAGAAATTTGACGTTATTTATAAATAAATACATTAAGCAAGATTTCATGCCTGTGTAGAGTTCCTAGTTCTTGTTCTCATTCATTTTCTGTCAGATTGTTTTCCTTTTTATAATTAGAATTGAAATGAAATGGATGCTTTACCTGACTAATTATAAATATTAAATTTTCTAAAGTCTGCCAAAGAAACTAGTTTCACTCAAACTTTTTAACTGACTTCAAAATTAATCTAATTTATATTAGCATCTTAAATAAAAATACTTACTGATATTACCTGTAATACTTCAGATAATCGTAATGTAAATTAAAGTATTTCTAATAATTTCCTGTAATATTTGAGATAATAATAAAAATGGGAATTGATTTACAAATAGCTGGTATTATCTTAGGTTTGGAAAAATGACTGACCTCCAGGGATCTTTACATTAAAGCTGGTTTCCTTTCCAGTTCCAAAATGAAGCACCTTTGAATTCAGCTGAACTATTTTGGTATTTTTCAAAGCTGTGTCTTCTAGAAAATATTTATTGGAGTACTTCATTTTATTTTCTACAAAGCATGTGGCAAATAGGAAAAAAAAAATGTGTCTATAGAACCTATTGCTCTTTTTAGTCTTCCTACCTTTTTTAAAAAAAAATAAGTGGATAGGCCAAATATAATGTGCACATAATCCAGACAAATGTTCAAAATGTTCTGTGCCTAAAGCACAGTACTATTTGGCATTCTGTTGATATTTGTAAATTAGGAACCT